AAAAAAAAAAAACGTAACTTTAACGAATCAAACAATACCCAATAGGCCAACATAACATAATTTTATTCTTGAACAAGCGACAAATTTCCTTTTACAAGATCAGCGGAAAACCAAAATGATTGATTTGTTAAACATACTGGCATCAGAATGTGAAAGTGAGGAAAGTAATAGTTTGCGCGAACGAGCAAATCTACGCATACTACATAGCAGCCGTATGGGTAACGTATGCATACCTGGTCGGTGGAAAGCTCGACTTGATCCATGGCCATGGGCATTGGAATGGAAGGAGATTAAGTAATGAATTGATTGTTACGACGGATCGAAATCTAGAGAGGGAAAATTCGACTCTGCAGATAGAGCGCCGATCAGCATAACCAGAATTAAATTTTACAAAAAGAAAAAGGGAAATTTGATATGGGGCTCTGGTTTGAATGGGGCGACCGTCGCCGACCAAACGAGGAAAAATCTGAAAAGAATTACGGCGAGAAGCTCTTCAATTGATCTGGGCGGACGTAGAAAGAAGCAATTAATCGTAGAAAATTAATAAGTTGATGTACTAACAATCCAATCTGCCTGACTAGAAGCTTTAGCGGACGCTGAGGTTGGATTTGGGGGAAAATTTTGGGATGTGAACCTGGAGAAATTTTTTTGGAAGATGGGGATTTGTTAGTAAAAAAAAATAAAATGGGTAATTAGATCTGCGATGAAGAGGAGACAATGATTTGTCAGTTAAATTAGAATAAAAGAACAAAAATAAAAACAAAATAACGCTTTTTGGCATAACAATGGAAATCAATTTAAACAGTTTTGACTAAATTATAAAGGCATCAATTAATGTCAAAATTAATTACGAAGGGCAAGAAGTGTCTTTAGTTTAATTTAATTCAGAGCCCAACACAAATACAGTAGTAGAGTTATTTGGCCTATCCGCTTAGCATAATGGGCTGCAATTGCAAATAACCCATGTTGTTTGTTTTATGGTCTGTCTTACATATAGTAATAAACCTATGTTACCAGCATATAATATACAAAGAGGGGAGATGCTACGATCCCGTTACAGAAAAATTCCGTCGAGGTTTGTAACCGTTAGATCAACTATCCCCGACGATTAAATGATGATCTAACAGTTATAAACCTCGATGGAATGATTCTGTTATGGGACCGTAGCATTTCCCTACGAAGAGATGACTAAATTGATGACTCCGTCATGTCTTAATCATTCCAATGTGATGACAGCATTGGTTCGCAACATAAAAAATAAGATCTAAGCAAATTGAGTTAAATGACAGCATTGGTTCGCACCATGAGTATGTCCTATGATAATCAAATGCACAAGTTTCGAGTGACACACTTAGCCATCAAAAGCCCAAATGATGATAGGCAATCATGTCAAGCTAAGAATACCCCTCTATAAAAGTACATTGGAAGTCAAACATAAACAACAAATACAATGAAAGAAACACAACTCAATAGGCCAACCTCCGAGATACAAAATCCATCAGAACCTAAATTGATACCAGTTCATGATCACACATTCAATGGTGACAAAATGAATATGAACATCAAAAGGTACCATAGAAAAAATATTACTCAGGTCATGGAGATCTATTATACGTCAACACAAACATGGCGCGTCCACAGATGGACATCTCCCACGGATCCACATTAAAATAGAAGCACCGTGTGAAAAGATCCAAGAATAAATTGAGCAATTAAACTCGATTTAAACAGTTAATAATGCTTACATTCATAACAATCAACGAATTATATATCGACATTTCAGATCCAGAACGAAATTCATTGGCAGAATAAGTAGATTGTTACCTGTCTGTAGGCGCGGAGATCAGAGCCGCGGAGAACGTTTTTCACGTTGTCGTTGAGTTATGTAGCTCAGGATCAATGAATTCCGTCGAGGCAAGTAGAGTGGAGTCGCCTGTTTTTATTCAATAACAGAAAAGCATTTTCAGTTATACTCTCTTAGTCACATTTCTGTTGCGGAGTTTAATGATTAAGGTGGGACAACTTTAACGTATTTTTTTCTATTTTTTCTATATTTTAAATAAATATCTAAATCTTATTTTAAACTAGGAGGCTATCGGTCGTGCACAGCACGACCGGCCCATGCTAAATGTTTTACATATTGTGTTTTGATGAGTTTTAATTTATTGGCCAACATATATTTTGAAATCTTCTACAAGATGTAACGTTATTTTTATTAAATAAAACTAAAAATATTAATAATAAGTTAATAGAAAAGCAAAATCTCTAGCTCATAGGATTTCCCATGATATTCATAATGTATTAAAAATTTTCAGCGCATTATGAAATACAAATAATTCGTCATCAATACTCTTCTGTTTTTTTCTTTTTTTTATTTTTTGGCTGCGACATCATCATTTCTTGTGCATAAAAAATAATAAGATTGATCAAAACATGTTCAACTTATGCACCAGACAAAAATCAAGCTTATGAATATATGTATGCAATGTTTATATAAGTTGCAAAAAATAAAAATGAAAAGAATATACCACCACCTCTAATTGATCCAATTGATAGAAACTACAAACGTGTTATGCTTAAACATTTTTTTTTTACCTAAAAACAATAAAGATTGATCTTTTCAACATCCAAAATATGCCTCAATTATCTTTCAATTACCCATAACCTATACAAATTCCTTTTTCTCTTGGAAAAATTATTCTCCAAATACAGCTAGCTAAAATATCTGAATTCTTCTCTATTGGTAAGATGACGGTCTTATACTATACTAATCAAAAACGCCAAACCAATTCTAACTAACAAAAATAACCATGTACAAATCGCACCACCCAAAAAAAATAATGATAATAATACAACTATAAATCAATAATCGACATGATTTACTTGGAGGTCCCGATGTCTGAACGACTGGAAATAGAAGTAGAAGGCACCGACGTTGTAGTTGAAGAAGTACATATCGAATTCACTCCGTGCGGCGACAAAATGGGTAGAGAAGACACTAATGAAGTTTGTGCCGGTAGTTTTTCAACCATGGTGGCACGTCATTATTCTTTAGAACGTTTTTATTGGCAAAGAAATCTTCTTCCCCGATTAAGTACCCTGCAAATACAACAAAGAAAATATCAAATAAAGATGGCATCAACTTTTATAAATGAAAAAAGTACCAGAGAATGTTCAGAGAATGTTGATAGTTGTTATAAACAGGAAAATCAACTAAAAAAATGAGTAAATGTTGCTTAAGAAAAAGTTGAACTCTATTCTTCAAAACTTGGTATGGGCAAGAATTTTAGATAAATAAAAGTAATATTTTCCATTACACAAAGTATTCAAACAATGCATATACATTGTAAATTCAAATGTTATTGAACTTAATAACCAGTATCATAAGATAGATCGACCACAATCAATGATAATCATCAGCAGAGTGAAACATCAACCAAGTTCCAAAAATTATATAAATAAATATGAAAAATGACATAACAATGACTATCGTATTGTGACACGATAGTTATAATCAATAACCTAACAAAGAGCGCTCTGAGAACAACCACTATTGAGGCCATGAAAGAATGCAACATAAAATCAAAAGGTAAGGTGTTAGCTTCTGAAAGAATTTCCTTTATATGTGTAACATTCCTTATCCCAAAAATAATTATACAACCATCCATTGACTTATTTCAAATTTTAATGCTTCAGCATCTCCTTCAACGCACACGAGAGATTTATCGTTCACAAGACTCATATATATGCAAATTTAGACTAGATTTTTGTGCGTGGTTGATAAAAATCGTATGACCAACTCTGTAAGTTTGGTGATTGCGTCCTCGACATTAGTGAGTCGGCACCCAAGCACCTCTTGACCCTCCTCATAGGCTTCAACGCGAGATTCAATATGCATCATTCGTAGTGGCTGGTCGGACCAATTGATAAGAGTAAAGGGCCATTGTAAAAGAAACTAAATATTATTAATTAAAAACAAAAGAAAAAAGAACACGAGGTTCTCCAAGAACATGGAGTTCTCCTTGGGAAATAATCCCTCCCAAGCTAAAAAGCCAACAAACAATATTTTTTTCTCTCGATCCCTAATCATCACTTCCTCACAACCCTTTTATAAGCATATTATTTATTTAAGGTAGTTATAAAGAAGAAATATGATAATATCTGATAGCCTTCCATGCCAGGTAGGATCCCATGATTCCAGTCAACAGCGTTTAGGCATTGATTCCCCGTCATAAGCAAACAGAGTCCATTATTAACAACATAAGCAACATTATCTTGGAAAACATCCTCCACCAAATGCCTTTTGATCGGTTCGCACAGAAGGAGTCTTCCCATCCCTCCGGCAGAGAATGCAAGTTGGAATTCGAACTCTTCTCTCCGAAGTAGACCAAACCCGGAACCAGTGAAGGACCGATCTTTCCACTGAGTTTTCTAGGCCCAATCAGATTTGGATCCAAATTTGAGAATTGACGGAACGGGCACTAGTGGAAGAAAACCGCCATGGAACAGATTCTTTCTAACCTGCTGAACCTTCCATTGACCTATGGGCTTTCAAGAACGTAGAAGCAAGTCCATATTAGTATTGGGCTTTCTCAGTCGCGCCTTGAAAAAGCTTCAGAAGCATGGTGTACTCACGCCTCTTCCCCCATCTCCGCCACCAGATCCTCTTCCTCCTATGTAGAAAGCCAATGCCTACTGCAACATCAGACGCGTTAGCGCATCTGTTTTCTTGCTGCTTCGAAAGGCCCATTAGCTGGGATTACCTCATCCCCCTTATCTTTTACAGCTCCCTTACCCTTCCTTTTCTCCTTCTTGCTTTCCACGTTTTTCCCCGACCTTAGCGTCCTCTCCTTGTTTACTAGAGTTGACATCAGTCCCCCCCATCTCTACAATCCGTTCCGTATCAATATCTTCTGGGATTTCCTTCCCTTTTTCCCATTCTATATCGCCACCAAGGGATGCAAATCTATTGTGATCTCCTTTATTATTGCTAACATGTTGATCCTTAAATCCAGGTTCGATGTAATTGACGTCTATTTTGCCGTTTCACAAGCATCCACGGCCCAAATGAGTTATCATCTCCGGAACTAACGGAAGCTGATTGGGGGAGAGTCGGACGGATCACGGCCAAGGCAGAGCCATTAGCGGCTGATGGAGATGGGTGTTGTTCTTTCTTGAGAATTCAAGTTTGTATTTCCCGTGCTAGCACCCACCGTACGTACCGAGGAGTAAGGCGGCAATAGAGCTTACCGCTACCTTGTATAGATTGACTTCT